TCGAAGGAGCTACTGATACACATTTAAATCTTTTAAAAAGGATAAGTAAGAAGAACTCGTTTTAAAAATAACTCTGGGGATGTTTTCTGGGCTAGTACTGAAGCACATGGCCAGAGCTTGCTAACTCGGTGCCCAAATCCGGTGTCTGCTGACAGTTATCGTCAACAGTGAGGAAATTTCTCGGGATCTGGTTTTCCCCATCTTTAGATGAGGCCAGGTGCAGCAGCGCATGCCTTTAATCCCAGCGCTTTGGGAGGCTGAGGTGAGCAGATCAGTTGAGCTTGGGAGTTGGAGACCAACCACGGGCAACATGGAGAAACCCTGTCTCTACCAAAAGTGCAAAAAACTAGCTGGTCATGGCGCTTGTACACCTGTGGTCCCAGCTGTTCAGGAGGCTGAGATGGGAGGATCACTGGAGCCCCGGGAGGCAGAGGTGGTGCCACTGCACTCCAGCCTGGGTGAAGAGCAAGACCTTGTCTCAAAACTAAATAAATAAATGAGGTCAGGAATGATATGGACACACCCACCCAGGAGAGATGAGGACAGCAATGGTGAGGGGCCAGGTGACATGACAACGGAAGGTGTCAGAGCTGCTGGGAGCCTCTCGGGCTGGGAGGCACCTTGGGTACAGCAGCCCAGATGCTGCCGTGGCGCCACCCCAGTGTGCTCTGCTGGGCAGGGCCTTCCCAGGTCTCTGCAGCAGGGAGGAAGGAGCAGAAGCGGGAGTTCCTGGGCCAGCTCTGTTCTCCTGCAGCCCATCATCTGGACCTAAAGTGGCCAAACAGGTTTTCCAGGTGGCAGCTGAGCTCCTGCAGGGCCGGAACACTTTGTTCCTAGCAGTGTCCCTTAGGGCCATGTTCACGAGCCAGGTTCAATGTGTGATGGAAGCCTGACAAGGAGGGCGTATCCTTCATGTGTCCCCAAGCGTGACCCGAAGCACTCCAGAGCAGAAGAAAGTCACCCTCTGTTGGCCTAAATGGGGCTGTGCTTTTAGAGCAAAGGAAAGAGAGAAAGCCCAGAGGCTGTCTCCTCTGTGCCCTTCTCAAGGGGACCTGAGACCCTACCAGAGAAGAGGCCTCTAGCAGGGCCCCCAAGAATTACATTCTGCAGAAAAGAATGCCTTACCTCATTCTTTGCTTAATTGTCCATGGCAGTGGTTCCAAATCTGGGGGGGTATTTTTGATACAGATTATCAGGCCCCAACCCAACTAGAATCTCTGCAAGGAGAACCCAAGAATCCGTGATTCTGATGTTACAGGTGTGCGGGACTAATATTCGGGCACTGTGACCCACACTCCCAAGATTTCTGGGGGTACCCCCTTCCTGGTGTTGAGATGATAAAGCCTGAGGCATTTCTAAAAATATCAGTCAACTGGTTGAATTTCATCTCTGGCCACAACCACTAAAATTCAACTGAGTCCTAGAGCAAAATTCAGAGATGATGCATTCCTCATTTCTTTTTTTACCGGGAACCTTGGCTTCCCATCCCGATGCCATCCATTACCATTAGCTAGCTGTGTGCTCACCTGCCAGGGCCAGCCTTGCATTTGTGGGGGACTCATACACCCTCCAGCCCTGGACTTCCATGCCTGGCCAGGGGCACTTATAGCCAATAAGCCACTCGCCTTGGTAAACCTGATTTAACTCAGCCCTACTGGTTTCTGTGTTTCAAAATCAGAAATCAGCCAAATGTCACTCCCCGCCTGGACGGCCCACTCCAGAGAAAGGGCTTTCAGGCCTGGGTGTCTGCAGCTCAGCTCGGCACCCAAGGGTGCAAGGAAGAACCCAGTGGGTACATGAAAGACACCTTGTTTCTCTTTCTTACTGCTGGTTCTCAGCCCGTGTCAAAGGATTATCATAGCCCCTACTCCCTCTCCTCTTCTCCAAGCTTCCATTCTTGAAAGCTGCTTTCATTTGCCTTCCTTCTTCAAGAAGAAAGGAGCTAATAGCAGTTGAATTTTACTGTGCCCCGTGCTTTCATTATGTGCTATCTCTCAAAGCATCCTATTTCTCAAGCAGCCTTTTGTAATATTATCCAGATGAGAAAGTAAGGCCCAGAGAACGTAAGGACTTTTTGCAAGGTCACACAGCTGGTGGCAGAGCGAGCATTCAGGCTCCAGCCTGCATATGGCAAAATTGGCCCTTGAGCCAAGCTCATTGGAATTCAGATGAAATGCTCTTGTTTGAGAAATTGTCATCTCTACAGGGCCCGATGCTATGAGGTAGAAGAACAGCCCTGTGCCCATCAGGGCCCACACGCAGAGCTCAGGGCCCACACGCAGAGCCCAGGGCGGGGCACCCACATAGGAGAGCCATGGCACTCACAGAAGCCACCCCCATCAGCCCTGCAGGACCTCCTCACAAAGCCTGGCCAGTGCTCTTCCCTCCAGTTCCACACTGGGGAGCCAGTGGGATAGAACGTTCAGGGAGGAGGGGGTGCTGATGGGGATCCCTGGGCTTCCTCAGGGTGCCCAGATAGCCCACAGAAGTGCCAGGAGGGTGAGCCCCAGCAGTTGCTGGTGACCAGCAAGGAGACAGTGTGGATGCTGAAGCCCAGTTCTGGGGATTCTTGGGCCTGTTTTCTTTGTGCACCATCTGGGGGAAGTGGAGAGGTCAGCTCCTCTTAGACCCTTTCAAAAGTCTTCTGAAGAACCTGTCCACGTATTGTTCCTCTTCCCATCCCCCCTTCCCAACACTCCAGGTGACACCTCAGGTGGATGTTTGTGCTTGGACTTGTAGACTTAGTCCAAGCAATGGCCTCCCACTGGGCATCTCAAGCATCAACCACAGCACGGAGAGTGTGTGCTTTGCTGCATGGAGGCAGATCCCTGGAGTCCTGCTGTCACTCCTTGTCAGCTAATGGACGGTGTGGGAGCATGGAGCAGGAAGCAACTCTGGCAGCTTCCATCCAGAAACTGTGCAGTGAGCTCTGTAAGCAAAAGCAGGACAAAGGGGAGGGCCTGGCTGACCCAGGCACAGTGCAGCCCAAGGGACACCTTGCTCAACTGCGTTGCACAGAACAGCAGCCACTGGGGCCCTTCCTCACAGCCTCTGCCACAGGCCAGGGCAACCATGGGCAGGGCGAGAATCGGCAGCCACTCAGCTGCCCTCCTGTCTGTAAAATGAGAGAGAACGTGAGGCTGAAACTACAAGACACAGCACAGACGCCTGCCTGGTAGAGTGCCCCAGGTGGCTGATAATCATTGCATGCTGACCTCCCCCACAACCATGCACCCTTGGCAGATGGAGAAACTGAGGCTGGCAGCAGCAGTGACATTGTTGGTGTCCGGATAGCAACTCCGAGGCTGGAGTACACGCCCTGGGAGCGCTTGACCCCTGAGGGTGGCTTCCAGATGGCCTCTTCGCACAGAGTCAGCTGCTTCTGTTTTCTTAGGGATCTTTAGCAAAGGAGACAGATGACCTGCTTGTGTTGTGCAATTTGTGTAGTGCTCCCGGCCTCCCTCTCTGGGGTCACTGTCTGCTGCCGTGGCCAAAACAGCATGTGCTGATTTGTAAATAAACACAGTGAGGAGCCCCCTGCGCCCGCAGGAGATGATGATGGCGCTGGGGGCTGAATTTCACAACCGCGTCTCTTTTTGTTTTCAATTAGCTGGGGAGGTGGCTGCCTGCTGGAGGGCAGGAGGCGAGGAGGAGAGGCTGTTTTCCCTCTAGTTCTCGGGGTTGCCCCAGGAAGAAGCCACTCCACAGACAGGCAGGGCTGCCCTCCACAGAGATCTCGTGCCTCCTGGGGTGCCCTCCGGATTGGTGGATCAGTGGATTGCTCGCTCCAGGCCCAGCCCAGCTGCACTTGGCAGGAGCACAGCAAGAACCTTGTCCTAGAGCCAGGCAGAAGCAGGTTCCTCTGTTGAATGCAAAGGGCAGCTCTGCATTAGCAGCCTATTCAGACTTGCAGATGCAATTTTAAGAGTCCTTTACTAAGGACAAACGTCGTGTTTAGCACAACAAAGGATAAACAGGGATTATGACAGGGAGAGGCCCTTAGATCTCAGGGCTCCACCCAGCGAGCAGGAATGGCCCAGCCCTGACTGAAGGCGGCAGCCACCGAGTCCTATTGCAGGGCCCGTGGGAAGAGAAAAAGAGAATGACCGGAAAGGAAGATGGCTTCTTTCTACTCTGTGGGCCAGCTCCACTAGAGGTGGTCTGTCTTTGCACGCTCACACTGAACAGAACGCTGCACAAGTCTTCTGCCTGTCACATGTTCACCTGGCATGTGTCCCCTAGTCCCTGCTATCTGTGGAATGCTGTGTGCAAATCTCCCTGGCATGCACCAGGGAGAGGAGCATTTGGTGGCCATACCAGAGTGGCAGATGCTCGCAGAAGACAAAAGGCATGCAGGCTCTGTTCTCCGTGAAGGCCTGGACAAAGCTGCCCAGGGACTCAACCGGCGACAAACCAGCCAGCCTCCTGCAGGTGCCTCAGCTTCCTGCTTTCTGCCCCTCCCCCGGTACATGGGCAGAGCATGGGCCCCCTTGCTGAAGGAGAAAAGTATCACCTCTGAGAAGTCTCTTATTGCAAACTCAAATTAACCGTGTACTTTGATTCCCAAATATCATCACTAAACACTACAAAAAGCTTTAAGAAAACAATAGAGAGAGAGCTCTAATCCACCCAGAATTGTCCTTCTGGAGAGGACAAGGCTTTGCTGAGACATGATGCTTCCTGAGTGATATCCCATCATTTTTGGGTGATTCTATTGAATAAGTAGGCCAGGTGTGGTGGCTCCCACCTGTAATCCCAGCACTTTGGGAGGCCGAGGCAGGCAGATCATGAGGTCAAGAGATCAAGGCCATCCTGGCCAACATGGTGAAACCACGTCTCTACTGAAAAAAAAAATACTAAAAAAAATTACAAAAATTAGCCAGGCGTGGTGGTGCATGCCTGTAGTCCCAGCTATTCTGGAGGCTGAGACAGGAGAATTACTTGAACCCGGGAGGCAGAGGTTGCAGTGAGCCAAGATCATGCCATTGCACTCCAGCCTGGTAACAGAGCAAGACTCTGTCTCAAAAAAAAAAAAAAAAAGAAAAAAGGAAAAGCAACAGGGGTTTTTTAAAACCCTGGTGGACATGTGACAGGGTTGTCTATCAAATACATGAAAGAATCTGGGGGCCACACGTGTCTTGGTACAAGAGGAACAAGTATGCAAAGCATCCTAGTAATGGTACCTTCAGCTTCTTGTCCTTGAGACTTCGCTTCTCCCAACCTGATGTGGCACTCACAGGCTCCCCTCTCCCTCTGGAGGTCACCCAACTTCCTCCTCTCCGTGTCTGGCACCTCAAGAGCATGGGGGGCCCAGAGGGCAGAGAAAGGAAAGAGACTGCACCCCATACACTCCCTGCCCTGCTGAGGAGCACAGAAGGTTTGAAAGAGATGGTAAGATGAGGGCACGGATGCCAACAGGACTCTGAATTTGACCAGAAGGACCCCAAGGAGGCCTAGGGGTGTGCTGGGACTGAGTCTTTTAGCACAGGGAGAGACAGCAGCCCTCAGGATGGCTGTGAGGAGCTCCTGTTCTCAGGAAGTGGCCAGTCCCATGTGGGTGGCAGGCTGGAGTTGCTCGGTCTGGGCAGACAGACCCCTTGCCCACCAGCCTCCCTCATGCAGCCTCAGAGGTCTTTTCCAGTGTTCGGGGAACCACATAACATGAGGCCAAAGCTTCTCTGCTGCATTTTCACAGCGGAGTTCTGCATGGAGCCGCCTGGGGATGTGGTGCCAAGAGGCACGTGGCCTGCAGGGTGAGCAGTGGCCCCTTACTTGTCAGATATTTGGAGAAGTGGAAACTGCTAAGAAAAGGAAGCAAAGCCTTTCAGTGCCATGGCCTGAAGGGAAGAGACACTTACAGGGATGACATGAATGGAGGCAGCAACCCCAGCGAGGCCCACTGGCTGCTGGCCATGTAGCCTTGGGTCAGGGCACTGCAGGAGAAGCTGCCTGAGCTTCCCCTAGAAGGAAGTGGTTCTGCATCTGTTCTCACTACAAAGCCACCTTTCCTGCTCCTTGGCTTCCCTCCCTCCACCATGATGCCTCTGAATTAGACCCACTGGCCCCGGGCTTGCCTCACCTTCTCCCGCCCCCCACTTCAGGATCGCAGTAGAAGGAGGCCCAACTCAACCCTTCACCTTGCACGGCCCCGCTGCAGTGAGGGGAGAGGGGCAGGGATGGGTTCATGTGAACATCCTGGTGTAAAGGTCACAGCAGAAGCAGACACCTGGAGGTGCATCTGCAGACGCAAGGAGCAGGAGCTGCAAGTAAGAATGCTAATTCCTTCCTTCTTGGATCATCTGCCCACCTCCTGGGTTTCCCCACATTCCAGACACTCCCCCGCCTGCCTCCCCCACATCTCAGCATCCATCAGGGTCTCAGTGATGAACTCAGTGGGCACAGCCTGGCCCAGGACTCACTGGAGCTCCAGACCACCCTCGTCTCTCCTGGGTCAGCCACGGGCTATACGCACAAGACATAACACCCCCATCTCCATGTCCTCACTATACACTTGAGGTGCCACAGCCACATGACCCTGCTGGCAGGCTGCCATGAGGATCAAATCAGAAGCATCAGTGCCGCCCTCTGTGACATCAATGCATGATGGAGCCTGGGCACCTCGAGCCCTCCCTGAACCCGGCGTGCACTCAGCCTCGCCACCCTCACCACCCACACCCAACATGGGACTCAGAATTCTGTGTTTTTCTTCAAGAAAATATAGTGCAAGCCCCGCGAGCCTGGACCTTCTTACCCACCCTTCTGAAGCAACAAGATCACAGAGGGGAGCTGGCGTTTATTAACCACCAACAGTATACTGAAGTCTCCTCTTCTCAAGGCTGCCTAGTGGAATCTCTTTCTGCACAGAGCAGGCAGCTTGAGAGGAGAGGGAGCACATCGCACATGTGGAGCGTGTGATGCAGAAGCTATCACCCGCCGGCCACACCCTGTGCAATGCCTCTCAAGGTGGATGGAGAGTGCCCAACATGCCCGCCGGCCACACCCTGTGCCACGCCTCCCAAGGTGGATGGAGAGTGCCCAGCGCACCAAGAAGACAAGCCGAGCCTAGTGCCTCATACATGCTACCTGGGCAGCAGGGCAGATGTGTGATGCTCCCACTGGAGATCAGGGGTTCTCTTGGGCCTGGAATTTGTAAGATGGAGCAAACACTTCTGCACAGTCGTCAATTCCAAAACGGCCTTGATAACATTTTAGGCATTCCAAAGAAGGAAAATCTTCCAAGTTACTTTTCAGCATGCGGCATTTTATTACTAATTGATCATACAATTTTTGTCATCTTTTTTATTGTAAAATTACGAACTATTTAATTCTTTTTGAATGTGCCATCAGGGTCAGGCCCACATTGAGAACAGAGGACACAGGCACAGGGTTAACAGAAGAGGGACTCACGAAGGGATGTGTCCACAAGGGCAGTGCAGCAGGCATGGCCTGAGGGGCAGGGGTGAGGAGTTAGGGAGAAGAAGGCGCTATTGCTAAGCACCAGCCTCTAGGGGCACGGAGCTGGCAGAGAGGCCACGGAGCAATGCGGAGGAACCTGGCAGAGAAGCAAGCACACAGGCTCAGCAGAGCCTCCTCAGCAGGGAGGGCTGGTTCTCCCTTCTCCATGCACACTGCACTCATCTCAGGGCCCGTCACTGTACAGATGCAGGGTGGCTGCAAAGCCTCTGCTCCTGCTCCCATGGAGAAGTGGCGCCTGTTCCCAGCCCCATGAACCTGGTCTAGCCCCATTGACTTTTCCAGGGGATGTACCAGGAGAGACACGCACTGGAGGCTCACGGAAGCCTGGCAGCTTCCACCTCCTCCCTCGCAACCTTCTCCCTCTGAAGGAAGTCCACAGACCCCAAGACAATCAAAATGGAGACACGTGTGATGCTCTGGTCGATGGCCCCTGCCAAGCTCAGCCTCTTGGCCACCCTCATAAAGGCCCCAGCATGGGAGTGAAGCTGTCTTGAACTTCCCAGAAAAATCCACCTGCCAGATGTGGTATCACAAGTAACCTCCATCAGCTCTGTGGGGCAGGGACCGACTGTTCAAAGCCCTGACCCACACCATGAGCTGATAACAATAAAATGATGGTTGTTCTCAGTGTCTGCATGGTGGGGGGGAGGTCGTGTGTGTGAGGCAACATCACCAGGACCTGAGTCTCTACTTCACGTCCAGTCCCCTCTGTGAGCTCTCCACGTCTCCAGCAGCACTAAGCTGTTACAGCAGTGACAGGGCACGGGCACGGGCTCTCTGCTGCATCCAACCTTGCCAAAGCAACACTACCTGGTTTTTACCATAGGAACATACTGATGTGCAAATGCACTTTCGCATACACCTCAATACATGCAGGACTCATGCTCGGGCTAATGTGCTTGGGCAAAGAGGCATTATTAGCAAAGGCAGGCATTTAATTTTTTCTTATTATTATTTCAATGAACACCGACTGAGGCTTTAATAGATCCCGGGTACTGTTTCTGGGATTCTGGTGACAGAAAACTGCTTTCCACTCGAGGAGATCCTCTGTCTTCATTATAGGAACTGCACATCTTCATTACTGGAACCAAACTCTCGCTCAGCTTGGTCCCAAGAGTGTGAGATTCTGACAGCAGAAATGCATCATCAGCCCCACAGGCGATGGAGCCAGCGATCAATACTCTACCACGCTGGTCCTAACAGAAATAAAGAGAACCGGCCCTGCTCCTGCTTGCTTCACCAACTGTGGACACCTGAGCCAGCCTCAGTGTTTTCAGGTGGAAGCAGGCACAGCATCACCAGTGTGGGCTTCTCCCAGGGGCTGGAGGACCACATGGAGAACGTGCATGACCACAAGCATAGTGCGCCACGTGCTGTGAGCAAAAGCAGCTCCTCACAGCCATGCTTGTTAGAACCTACAGCATCAATCACATGCATAATCCCCAAGAGGGAGCCCCAGAATGTGCTGACCTCAAGCAGCGCATGCGCTCCCCACCGCTCCACAGGGCCCAGTGGCCCACGTGGCGTGCCTTGGAATGCTGTGCCGGACACGGATGGGGCATCATCACTCACCTTCTCGGTGCTTCTGTGTCCTCATCCTCTGAATTAGTTTGTTCTCACACTGCTATAAAGAAACACCTGAGACTGGATAATTGACAGAGAAGAGGTTGAATTTGTTCATGGTTCCACAGGCTGCACAGGAAGCATGGAGAGGCCTTCAGTCAAGGTGGAAGGCAAGGAGGGGAGCGAGCAGGAGGAAGAAAGCGTGGGGGCAGGTGTTACAGTTTTAATCAACTAGATCTTGCCAGCATGCACTATCATAAGAACAGCACCAAGAGGGAAGTCCTCCCCCGTGATCCAGTCACCGCCTACCAGGTCCCACCTTCAACACTGGGGATTACAATGTGACATGAGATTTGGGTGGAGAGACGGACCCAAACCATGTCATCTACAAACAAAAGAGCTGAACTAGAAGCCCCGACGGAGCCCCTGACCCTGGTGCCGCCATCTGTGATGGTCACTGTGGACATGGTCAGTGTTATCCCTCAAGCTACAGACGGGCGCCTTCGGAGGTGTCTCATCATGGCCCCGGCAGCATGCACTTCTCCTCCAGTGTTGGGAAGGATTCTGATGCCGTGTTCAGACACAGCCTGTGGTGAGTTCATGGTGGCTGCACAAGGGGAAGGAAGTGGTGGCAACTTGCATGTTGATGCTTTGCTAACCCAGGTTTCTAGGAAGTCCGGTGGGGAGAGAACTGCCTGTCATGCAGATGGACTGACAGAGAAGTGACAGCTAAGCTCTCCTCCTCAGAGGCGGGGCCTGCACCCCACCGCTAGCCAGCCTCTGAGGCTGAAAAGCAGCTGGTCCTCCTCAGTCACTCCATGCTGAGAAGACAAAAGGCCAAGGTGACCCAGCCTGTGACCGGACCTGAGCTCTGACCAGGTCAGAGGGTGTGCTTCCACCCAGCAGCCAGCACTCCGGGCAGTTCTCAGGGCCTGGAAGTCGAAACCTCTTGCTGAAGGCAGTGGAGGGGCAGCATCACTTTTCCTCCAGGGGCCTAGAGAAAGCAGCCAGTGGTGTGTGCCCGCACAGGCAGGGACTGCCCGACCCTGCAGGAGATCCCAGTCCCAATACGTGTTCGCAGCCATTGCTGCCTCTGAGGGGTGCCAGGGGCCTTGTGCACCGCAGGGTAGTTCTAGAAGCCATCATTTTTGCAGGGCTGGGTGAGGCTTTGGAATTTGAAGAACAAAATGCATGCTTTAAAAAAGAAGTTTCCAGCAAGCTGGGCAGGCTTCCAGCCGTGGACCATCCTGGTTGCAGCTCTGCAGCTGAAAGGACACACAGCTCCCGCAGCAGTGCCTGGGGTGGCTGACTACTTATGCTGCCAAGTCCCGCCTGACCTATACAAGGGCAGCCCCGTCCTCCTTGCCTTCCAAGACCGTCTGTTTCACATATTTATTTTCATCAAGGCCCTGCTGCCTGGGGCTGAGGGCAGGAGGATTGGGGCTCTGACCTCCAGGAGCTCAAGGTTTCATCGACAATCAACTGTGAGCTGGCACACCAGCCTCTCAGACCAAGCTCGGCGTGCGCAGGCTCTGCCAGATTGTGAGGCAGCAGGGAGGAAGGTCCAGTCATTTGGCAGGTCAGGGGATGCTGCAGAGGGTGTGGATTAAACTGGGCTGTCAAGGAAACAGGCATTTGCCAGACTGTGAGCTGGAGGAAGAGTTCTACACAGAAGAAATGGCCCCTGCAAAGCCATGGCTCTTTGAGGTGTCAGGCTGCGGGACGCGCGGGGAGCTCCGCAGTCTGGAGCAAGAGCCCTTGGGTAGGAGTAAGCTGGAAGGTCACTGGCAACAAGGCCTAGTCTGGGAGGAGAGATCCGCTGGGTCCCCATATGGCCAGAGTGGAGGGGACCTGTCACGATGGGGGTAGAGGAGAAGAAGTGGCTGGGGTGTGTCAGTGAGGGGACGAGAAAAAGGCAGGTGTCCAGAGAGGGAAGGTCTGCGGGCACAGGCAGGGGGCTAGCCAGTGGAACACAGACCACAGCGGCGGGCAGGAGACAGAGGCATGGAGCTGGCTCTGGGGCTCCTGGGGAGGGCTCACCTGCTAGGCTGGAAGAAGGGTAATGTGGCAGGAGGGGGCCAGGGAGGATTCTGAAAGGAGCAGTTACAGCAGCAGGATGGAAATTAGGGTCGGGGGCCTCTGCTGAAGCCCAGGAAGGAGCTGTGAGAAAGGAGTGGGCATCGCAGCCAGTGGCCACGCGAGACGAGGCAAGGGGAGCAGGAAACGCGGCCCTGGGGTTTGGCTCCATCGAGGCGAGCGATGTCCCAACGGCAAGGGATTCATCAGGGTAAAAAGAGCCGCCCCGAAAACCCCACACCCTCACAATGGACATGAAAGCAGATCCAGTTGGGTTAAATATATCAACATGCTTTAAAAACTGTCAACTTACCAGCCTGACCAAGATGGTGAAACCCCATCTCCTCTAAAAATACAAAAATTACCCAGGCTTGGTGGTGCATGCCTGTAATGCCAGCTACTCGGGAGGCTGAGGCAGGAGAATCACTTGAACCTAGAAGACAGAGTTTGCGGTGAGCCAAGATCATACCACTGCACTCCAGCCTCGGCAACAGAGCAAGACTCCATTTAAAAAAAAAAAAAAAACAAATAAACAAAAACTATCAACTTAATAGAAACATATGGAAGGAGATGTCACAACCTTGGCACAGGACAACTGCCCTAAGTCAAGCTTGAAAATCCAGAAGCTCTCAGAATATTGCTACCCAGAAGCACATTAAACTGAAACGTGTGGAGGGTGAAAGAGAACACAGAGTTTTAAAACAAACAGTAAACTGGGAGGAAATATTTAAGTCCTCCATGATAAAACTAAGGATTATGGTCCATAATACATCAAAAGCCTTTAAAAATTAGTTAAAAAAAAAAAAGACAAATCAATAGAAACACGGGCAAAGCAAAACTTTGTCAAACATTGCCAAACTTTGCAAAACTTTGCAAAACAAAGACAAACTTTGGTGACAGCAAGCATTTCCCAACCTCCCTGACAGGTGACAGGCAGACCCACCAGTCTGGCCAAGGGGACAGGGCATCAGCTGCAGCTGAAGCACATTGGGAAGTGCCCCTCCTTCCCTGCTGCAGCTGCCCGGAGTCCAAGGGCAGGGCTTTAGGAAGGAGAAGACAGAGTAAGCAAGAAAACACAACTTGATCGTGTTACCTCCTTCGATGGCGGAGCCTGTCTACTGTAAGAGTTAGCATTAATTTGGGTTGAATTAAGTTGGATTAAATGTATGAGAATTAAATTTAAAGCAACTTTGAACTACTGTACCGGTTTTGACCCATTCTTAATATTTTCAAAATATTACTAACATCCAGCATTTGGAGGAGGCGTGGGAAAACAGGCATTCCAATACTCTATTGCTGGAAGTATAAATTAGTACAGTCTTGTTGGAGAATAGCTTGGCAACAACTATAGAAAAGTTAAAATACGTATTTAGCAATTCTAAGAATCTATTCTACAAACATATTGCTAGTGATGTAAATATATAGCTATATATTTCTACTGATTGCTCTATATATTTATATATATATCTCATTGCAGCACTGTTTGTATAAGCAATAACAAGTTCAAACAACTTAAATAGCCACCAAAAAGGCATGAAGTTAATAAAAGAGGACTCATTCTAAGGAATATGATGGAACTGACAAAATCCGTGAAAAAAATCTCTGTATGTTAACATGGAGGACATCCACAATTTATCACATGAGAAACCAAATACTGATTGAGCATCCTAAATCTGAAAATCCAAAGTGCTGCAAAATCCAAAACTTTTTGAGTGCCGACATGATACTTAAAGGAAATGCTCATTGGAGAATTTTGGATTTTGGATTTTCAGATGAAATATGCTCAACCAGTGAGTATAATGTCAAGATTCCAAAATCCAAAATAATTCAAAATCTGAAACACTTCTGGTCCCAAGCATTTCAGATAAGGGATACCCAACCTGTAGTAGGATATTTATATTATTCAAAACATGGGGTTTTTTAATTCATTTATTTGTTTATATTTGAGATGGAGTCTCACTCTGTTGCCTGGGCTGGAGTGCGGTGATGCCATTTTGGCTCACTGCAACCTCCACCTCCCAGGTTCAAGTGATTCTCCTGCCTCAGCCTCCGGAGTAGCTGGGATTATAGGCATGCACCACTATGCCCATATAATTTTTGTATTTTTCATATGGGCAGGGTTTCACCATGTTGGCCAGGATGGTCTCAATCTCTTGACCTCATGATCTGCCCGCCTCAGCCTCCCAAAGTGTTGGGATTACAGGCATGAGGCACCGTGCCCAGCCTAAAATATGGGTTTTATTTAAAACACACTATATGACTATAAGATTGTTTATATGCAGTTATTTTGTATGCTTACATGACCCCCCACCCACCCCCCCACACACACACAGATACACACACATAATTTAAAAATACCTTGGAGGGGCCGGGCGCGGTGGCTGAAGCCTGTAATCCCCGCACTTTGGGAGGCCGAGGCGGGTGGATCTCGAGGTCAAGAGATCAAGACCATCCTGGTCAACATGGTGAAACCCCGTCTCTACTAAAACTACAAAACATTAGCTGGGCATGGTGGCGCGTGCCTGTAATCCCAGCTACTCAGGAGGCTGAGGCAGGAGAATTGCCTGAACCCAGGAGGCGGAGGTTGCGGTGAGCCGAGATCGCCCCAGTTCGCCCCCTGGCTCAAAAACGGGGAAAAAACGGGGAAAACTCATCCAAAAAAAAAAAAAAAAAATACCTTGGAGGATAAATTAGAACACCTGAGAGAGAATGATATAGTAAGATAGGTATAAATTGGGACTTTCTCTTTGATTACATTTTCCTGCATTATATTACTTTTGTAATACAAAAGAAGAAGAATGTAGTTGTTAAAATGGAATAAGACAGTGCATGTAAAAAATGGGTGTGAGAAGAGAGCTAGCAAGTGGCCTCAGGTACCTGTGGACCTTCGAGGTTAACTCCAAAATCTCACCATGTGTATGCATACATGCATTTTTCTTTTCTAGAAGATGTTCTGTCACTTTTAACAATTCTTAAGAGTGATCCATAGGTCAAAAAAAAGTAAAAAGCACCGATACATACTATGTTTTCAAGAAGTTTGACCATAAGGAAAACACACATGGAAGCCACTTGAAGGGAAAAGCATGTCAGGAACGTCCCTGTAAACTTGGGATAAACACTGCACCAGACAACACCGCAGATCTTTCAGAATCTTCTGAAAGATTCTGTATTAATCTAAACCAAGGAAAATGTGGACACTTTCATAGGCAATCCGTCAAGCTTTCCAGCACCAAATTTACCCACTGAGCTTTGCATCTTACTAAAAGTTTGGCTGAGTGTGAAATTCTAAGATACAAATCATTTCCCCTCAAGGTGTGGAAGACATCCTTCCACTGGGGCTTCTCGTGGCTGCTGTGCAGGAGTCAAGGTCAAGTTCATCTTAAATCCTTTGCATATGACCTATTCTCTCCCTCTCTCTCTCTCCCTCCCTGCCTCTTCCAGCCCCCTCAACATGCCTTTGCTATCTTCTCTTTATCCCTGGTATCCTGAGTTTCATGATGATACGCATTGATGTGGGTTTGGTTTTTTTGCCCACCATGTGCTAAGCACTTGATGGTTCTTCCAACATAAAAACTCCCCTCCTTCCATTTCAGTAAATGTCTGTGATAATTTCCTCTCTCTCTGTTTTCCATTTCTGGAACTCTTCTTTTGTCAGATGTATCTTCTTGATTAATCTTGAATTTTCTTCTTGTATTTCTCTGTTTTTCTGTTCTATTTTCTGGAAGATTTTCTCAACACCATTTCCCAAACTCATATTGAGTTTTTTTACTTCTGCCACATATTTTTCCAAGAGTTCTTTTACATACCCTAAAAGTTCTCTTTTTAACGTCTCACTATTGGCTATTTCTTTGTTTTTTTTGCATTTTCTTTGCCTTGTCTTTGTTTTCTGATGCATTGTACTTCTTTCTCTGAGTTCCTTTTTTCTGTTTGTTGCTGTTTCATTTGTGTGTTTCTGTCTTCCCAACAGAGGCTTTCCCCAGCTGCTCAGGCGTCTAGGGCCTTCTCTTTCACTAATTAAGGCCCGATTTGGCTAACTGGAAACTCGGTGTGGGTGAATGGAGATTGGCATAGGGTCACCTCACTGAAGGTTTATCAGGTGGGAACCTGGTGGTCTTATGTCTCTTTTCTTTGGTTTCTCAGTTTCACCAAAGAAGAATTCTTTGACATTCCAGCCAATGGGCATAAATGCTGGTGGCAACATTCCCAAAACTGAGTGGAGAAAGAGGGCTGAGTGGAGGGGTCTGACTATTCAGAAAGCAGGTTTTCACTTAATTCACCCACTCTCCATCTGGGTTCTGTGTCTTCAACTTTAACTGGAATCTCCAAGTTCAGAGCCTCTCCTGCCTTCTGCAGGGCGGCTGTGCCACACCCTGGCCTTTGGTGCTTCTGATTGCAAGTCTCCTAAGGTTCTGTGTGACCATTGTTGCAGTTGTAAAACGTGGTTCCACAGTTCTCTGATGCTTTCCTGTTGAGAGGTAGGGGCGTACAAACCCTTCAATCTGGTGGGCTTGTGGTGGCTTCAAACAACAGATCATGGTTAAAAGAGGGTCAATGTGACGTCTGCAGCAGCTGTTACCTAGAGACTTGGAATGTTCCTTCTGTGCACTCAGCCACCATGCTGTGAGAAAGCCCCTGCCACATGAAGAGGCCACATGGAGGTGCTCTGTTGATAGCTCTAGCTGAGTCCAGCCTTCGAGTCTTCCCAGCGGGGGCTCCTGATACAGTGGATCAGACATAAGGTCTCCCTGCTTTGCCATGACTGAATTCCTGACCCACTGAATCTGTGAGGATGATAAAATGATCTTTATGTACTCTCGTTTGGGCTAGTTTGTTGTGCACCAACAGTAACTGGAATAATCATAAATGTTCTTTGTTATGCCATTACCACCCCCCTGCCACACACACACACACACACATACACACACACACACACACACACACACACACACACACACACACACTTGCTGGTACATAGGTTTTGGTTAATACCTATGTATTAACTAAACACATAGGTATTAACTAAGCTAAGCCATATACTTTCCATTTTTCAAAATTGTGTTGACATGTCTGATCTGCTGGTAACCACATCCCTTTGGATTTCTATCTTTTCCTATTCATTTACTATAATTTTGTGATGATTCAGAGGGAATGCAGAAAAACACACATTACCAATCTGCCCATTTTAGCCAGAAATTGCAGCAAACCTTTCCTTCGTGCTTCTTAATGGGTAAACCCAGAGCCAAATTAAAATCACTTCAGGTAAACTGAGGCAGTAACTTGGGAAACAGGTGTGCCCCAGAGTCATCCTCAGCCACAGCAAAATCTGTACAGTCATTCTGACCCAGTCAGTTTTCATTGCTGTGTG